GGCAGGTAGCCTTCCAGCCAGGGCCGGCGTTTTGGGAGGGCTGCCCCTGCAAAAAGATACTCAAAAGTTTATATTCTTGAAAGTTGTGGGCTGCTATTGTAGGGTTTAGTTTTTTGGATGAGTCTTTGGCTGTCTGTCTTTCATCTGTGGAGGAAAGGGAGTAATACTCTGTTTTCTCTATGTGTTCCCTGTGCGGATTTCCTGGCTGCTGCATATGGACTTCCTCCTACGCTGAGCTGCTACGCCCGTTCCTTATTGTCACCTGTCAACAGTTTCAGTGTCTGCCAGTGCAGTCGCTCATAAATTTCACAAAATTGACAGACGAGTTTCAGACGGGTTTTGCTACTTTTTTTTTTAAGCTCTTGAGTGGCAGCATACTGATGTAATACTGTGAACGTAAGTTCAAACTCACGGAAATAATATAGTAGCACAAGTTTAACTAATTTATGATAGTTATATGAATAATCCTGCCACAACCTATGCCGTTTGGAGCTGCCTTAAATTTACTCAGATTCATTCAATTTAGACAGATTTACTCTGAATCAGAGTTCAGCTGTTTTCTTCCTGTCTTGGGCATTATTATCTTACACTGCAGAAGTAATTATGTCTGTGGTAGTGTAAGCCCCGTGACCTTTGGAACAAGTACTTCCCTTGCACTGTAGTGCAGAAGGAATGTCAGTCCTATGTATTCACTTAAGAACTACATGAAACAAATTGCGACTGGACTGAGACAAGGAGATATAAGTGGACTTCAGTCACTCAAGTCTCAAATTACATTATAAAAACCGCCATATGTTGGTCATCTAAGTTTGGGTACATCTTAGCTCATTAAATGTCTTCTTTCTTGACCTTGGTGTTCCTTAGGTTCACATAAACCTGCCCAAACTCTTCTCGAGAAGCAGGTTTGGGTTGTGCTTTCCTCTAAACAGGTACCGACAGAATCAGCTTGGATCTGTCAGACAGCCACCACCAGTCTAGTATAGCCTGTGGTTTGGTGGCTTCTGGTGTGCTGTGTGTGTCTGGCCTCTTGGATTATGAATCGCCCTCCCCCCATATGTTTGAATAGATTCAATCTGAAAGATATATAATTTACCTCTCCATCCTTAAACTAAGAGTCACAGTACTCTCTTGGAAGATGGAGAAGTATGTTTGAACTTCCTTATGTTGAAGAAGGCACTAAACTGAGGTATTTAACTTCCTGTGCACGTGTTGTAGTCATTAGGGTGTTATATCAATGGTGCTGACACTTTAAAATTGTTGTCTTTGCCGAATTCAAGCCAGTATTTCTTGCAAAATAAAACAATAAGTGTATCTTGTCAGGATGTGATTCTAGATGATGAATTTTAAGAGATTTTTTTTTTTTTTTAAGCAAGCATTAACACCTGAGTCCAGTGCCAGCGAATACTCTGAGCTGACCTTGCCAATAGGCAATTTCATCACTCTTCTGCAGTATCCTTCAGCAGGTGTTTTCTGGGCACTTAAGAGTTTTCTGGATTCTACTGTTAAGGCTTGGTGCCTGAAAACTAGAACTTGTAGCCCAAAGCTGTAGTTTTTAGGCCCTTCATTGGCTCAGGCTGCATGTTGGATGCTTCTGTTGTTCTTTGATGTTCGTGGCTTGAAATACAAGCAACTTAGATAACAATTAAGTTCTGTAAGTGGGTGAGGCATATAATGATTTTTCTCTTCCTGGTGTCCTGTACTTTAAGTCAGTAGGAGTTTGTTTATAGAGATAATATTTACTAAAAATAAGCACAAAAGCTCCTTAGTCCCATGCCCTTTTAATTATTTCTGTACAGAAGAACTCTGGGAAAATCTGCATATGCTCTACATTATAGATTCTGTTAGTAGAATAGCAAAGGGCTTAGTTTTGTAAGTATGCCATAAACACCTTTTTATGGCCCATCTACACTCATATTTAACTACTACCTTTTTTCTAGGTCACTATACTTGTAATGTGGCTAAATTTGATTAGGATCAGTATTAAGCATTTCAATTAAGTGTGCTGGCATATTTAAAGTTGGGGGGTTTTTTTGGTCTCTTTAATAGAGCGTGATTGTGGAAATACATAAGGATGCCGTGCTTAGATTTAGTTGTCATTCTCAGGTTCTGTTTTTTTTTTCAGTTGGAGAGGTTTATTTTCCTACCAGAGATCTGTGGAACAGAGCTCAAGCAAATTTTTTTTTTTTTCATTTGTATGTACTGGGAGCTAATCATGGATACATTTTATAAAAAAAAATCAAATCTTTGGCACAACTGATATCTTTATTTAGCATCTATTCAATTTTATTTCCAGGACTCTTCCTCTGTGTGTGTCTCCTCCATCCTAGCCTGCCCCTTCACACTCCTCCAAGCAGTCAAATTCTAGTGGTACCTATTAGGGGTGGAATTATCTGACGTTCACAGAGCTCTGCTGTAAGGAACAATCTATAGCCAGTTCAAACTCTTGGTGATGGTTAGAATGACTCTCTGCAGCTTTGAAATGCCTATTTGGTGTTTTGAGATGCTTGTGTCTCTGCCACCAAGCATTTCCTGTAAGCGATATTGATTATTTTTTTTAAGTTTTTATAAATAACAGATTTAACGTAATTTGATTTTGAATACACCTCTTTCCAGTGTTGAAAAGTAATAGTAGATTAGCATTGCTTCTTTCTTTTGTTAGCTATAGAGAGACTACTTCAAATAGTTGGTAGCAGCACTAGTTCTGGAACACTGTAGAAGAATAATAATGAGTAACATAGGTGCAGCATGACAAGGATTTCTCTGACTCCACTTGATAACTGAAGAATTCTTTGTGTAATATTTGGTAAATGTCAGTCAGCTCACATATATACTGCAAGTAGTGAACGTATAGAAGCATGGTATGTAGAATATATGAGAAACTACACTTGTTTGGGTCTATTTTAATTCTTTCTGTTGTGATTGCCTGGTAACTTTGGTGTTTGGATGAACTGAGGTGAGGAGGAGATAGTTCAAAATAAGTTTCAGGAGAACAGTCCTGTATTTCCATGTCCTGGAACCATATACCTGCATTCTCGGAAAGTGTAGTACTTCTTGTCATAAGCTGTTGTCTACGTGATGAGTCTGTGGGGATTGTACTCCCAACAATGAGTAGTTTGTGTCAATCTAAAAAATATAGTTGTCCTACATCAATAAGAATTAATAAATTATAATCTTCTTACATTAGTGTTATTAGTAATTGTTATACATTAGAGCCTTTTATATTTTGTCAAATTAGTTCTTTAAAATTAATATTTTACTCCAGAAAGTTTACAAGTGACCAAACAGACACGTCATCCCAGTGTGCTGGGATGTGCCACAGTAGTACTGCCAGGGGCTGTAGAGCTGTGTGTCAGTCTGTTCCCACTAGTGACTTGGATCTTTCTGTTCTGGGGATCTTTTCATTGCAGCCAGACGTGGAATATAAAACTGATTAGGAATTAAAATGGGATTTATTGCATTCAGGTATTCAATTTAGCGACAAAAATGATTACGGAGTAATTTAGTTTAAAGAAATCACTTTTACAAACTCACGGATATCAGGACTATGGAAGTCACCTTGGAACGGAGGAAACTTCATTTTTAAAATAAACTAGTTATTTTTTTTAAAGCACATTTCTTGAATACCTTGACTTTAATTAAACAGAATTGTCAATTTAAAGAAGTTGACTTTCCATTGAATATTCTGTAATTATTACTTTATAGAAGAAAAAAGTTGCATTTAAATTTGATATATTGCAGTCCTGTTAATTACCTCTTCTATCCAAGTATAGTGGCTTTTTCTGTATAATAAAACTTCAGGTATGTATAACCTGTTTAAAAAAGAAATAATAAATCTTTTGGACAATGGACACTAGATGAACTTATTTTACATAAAAATTTCTTTATGATAATGGAGTAATTTAATTTCTTCACAGATAATGAAACTGCTGTCTATACACTAATGCCGATGGTTATGGCTGACCAGCACAGGTAAGAGCTGCTTTAAATTTCCTTTTTTTTTTTTAAAGGTCCAAAAAACCCAGCATGTTTGCTAGTGTTGTCGCTGCTAGAGCACTCTCGGGATTTGTGCTGCTGAATTGCTGACATATCTTCTGTAGCTGAAGTTATTCACTAACTGTGTTGCATCACAGCATATTCTTACCCGAGAAACCTGTTTTGTTTTATGTCATCGATGGGAGCTGGCATTTCTTCTGTTGAACAAATAAGAACAAATAAGAACAAAAGCATTGCTTTGTAACTGGGTTGTAGCTCTCAGTGTGTACTTATTGGTGACATAGAAGCTCATAGTCTCATTAAATGACTTGAAAAGACGTGGAATAAGAGTTGGACAGCAAGGTTGATAGTTCTGGGATTCCTAAGATGAGCAGCTCTTTCTTTTACCCACTTGTCCTGAAAGTGGTTGGGACCTGGGGTCTGTATAGCACCAGCTCAGTGGTGCAACCTTCCAGATGAGTTTTTGTAGGCAAGCAGGTAGTAACTGTTACTGAAACTGTAAACTCTTTATCTAATCAGGATAAATATTTGTTCTGCTACATAGTGTCTTCTTGAGGTTGTGTTCAGGGGTTGTAAGTTTATGTGATTAACTCATCACTGCGGTTTGAAATCATCAGTTCACTTGCAGTTTCACCTATTTTGAAATATTTTATCTTAACTAATATTTGATCTTTACTAATTCATTAAGGCTTAAAGGGTCCTATTTAATTTTTTTGTCTTACTGACATGTCACGTCTCCTGTTTCATTGAGGTGATTTCACATACCAGTCTTCCTTCTGAACTTTGTCTGTATTTGGGAAAGCTGCTGGAAATCTGGTTAGGGTGTCTGTGTTAAGATACAGAGGAAAATGGGTATTTATAGTTTTTCTAACCAAAGCTATAGATATGCTTATTTTCCATATTTGTAAAGAAGTGATTTGACTATCTGGCCTAGTTCTTACTAGTTTACTTATAAAACAGTTTCCCAGTGTCACAGTTCATTTTTTTTTTATGTACGAGTAAGAAGTGAAAGAGTAAAAGTACTGTTAATAGCAAGTGCTTGAAAGCAATCAGATCTCTTGTTCAGAAATCAGTCGGAGGGAAAAGAAATAGCAATCAAGTAAGAAATAGAATGTTTATGCACAACTTACAGTATATACTTTGCTTGGATATTGTGAGCTGCTTTTTAATAAAAATTATATTTGTATTTGAAGGTCTGTCTCAGAGCTGCTATCAAATTCAAAATTTGATGTGAATTATGCTTTTGGACGTGTGAAGAGAAGTTTACTTCATATTGCAGCAAAGTAAGACTTACCTGAGTCCAGTCCAGAAGTTAACAATGAAAGTATTACCATAAAGCTAAGGCACCAATGTAAGCTGGAAAACTCTGTAGTATCAGTTAACATTTTGTTTTTATGCATCCTTTTTGTAATTTTTCTGTTCTTTTAGTAATGTGCCTGCCTGAGAGGACAGATCTTACACGTGATTTCAAATGGCTTTCCAAATTCTAGTGAAGGAAGTCTTGATGGATACTTTTTTCCTTTCTGTGAAATCTGTCTTGAAGAAATGTAGCCATTATCCTGTATAGTTGGGTTACTCTTGCCTTTGTTGATTTAGAGAAATCTTGTCTGCAGGTGCTACTTATTCTTTAAGCATTCTAAAACAGTGGGAAGCACTTTTCCTTTCATTGGGGAGTAGCTGTTCCAAAGTACTTTATGTGACCACAACTGAAGGAAATATGACTTAGTCACTCATTTCTAGTAAACTTTTGTATCCTGGACAAAGGACTTCAGTGCAAATTTTAGACCCGTGATCTAGGTTATTTATTATTTATGTAGCTCTTCAATGGGAGTAATTCTGTATTGCCAAGAAACAGCCAGATTAACATAACCTTGATAGAAATGAACCAGATAATTTCCTGAAAGGCCATTTCCAAAACTAGACTTTAAACTAATGCATGAATGCTTTATTTTTGGGTTCTATTTAAAATATATTGGAAATTCTTACATTTAAACTGTTAAAAAAACCCAAATAAAAATAAAAGAAATAGTAGCAGTACTACATATAGAGAGCAGGTATTTGAGCACGATAAAGGTAGAAATTCCGGCTTTCAGAGCAGAGTGTTTCCTAAACATTCCATCTCAGAATTACATGCTGCTTATATAAAATTTCCTTAAGAAAGTACTCAAAATGCAGGCAAATTTTTAGCATAAGTCTTAAATGGAGCTGTTTGAAGATAAATCTATAGATAACAAAGCCCAGGAAATTGTGTTACACTTAATTTCTTGATTCTGTTTTTGTCTAGTTGCTGGATCTTTAAGAGGCCATAGAAGTGCTGGTTTTGCAACTTACTATATGCTAGTCTTCACTTTCTTTGGGTTATTGTGTAGCAATTCTGTCACTGGGAAAACTAGTAACAGTGGACAAGCTGGTCCTGACAGATACAAAAATACTGTGTATTTATCCTCCAAGTGAGTTTTTCTTCTTGAAGAGCTCAGGAGTTAAGATAAACATGTAATGCAACGTTTGCGTGCTCTTGGTGACATTGATTATCCTGAAGAGCTGCTATATTATTAAAAGTGAAAGGGAGTTACAGGTTCAAAACAAATAGCAAAGAAGTACTTGTGTGAGTTTTAGATTTTTTTTTTTCTGATATTTGAATTTTTAAATGCAATTTCAGACATTGAAGCATAGCCAAAAAAATATATTGGAGTTGTTATTTAGTGGAAAACTCAGTACTGTGAATAGATGTGTACGATGAGGGAGGTGAGTGGAAATAATAAGCAAAACATTGTAAACAGTTTACATTTAAACAATTAGCAGCCGAAAGATTCACTGTTGGGTTTTAAAGTTGCTAAAATCCTGTAGGGAGACTAGCATCTCTTCATCAGTACAAGTTATCGTCAGTCAGTTCTCACTGCATTTAGGTGTCTTTAGCTTTGTGCAACGTGGAATGTGAGGGTGTAAAGACGTTCTGTGTAAAAATTTTCAACTGAATGTAATCTGTATATAGTAGTGCTGTTATCTTTACATCAATGTAGATTTGGTTTGTAAATATCCTTTTGTTCTTAGCTGTGGATCAGTTGAATGCCTTGTTCTACTATTGAAAAAAGGAGCGAATCCAAACTATCAGGACATTTCAGGGTGCACACCTCTCCATTTAGCAGCAAGGAATGGGTAAGAAAAATGTTTTAAAAACTCTTACAAACATTTTGTGCGTAATGAACTTGAGCTGACACGTTCTGTAATATTTTTTCATAGGTTGAAAAAAATACTTTGGTTTTCATTTTTGAAAACAGTGATGTCATACTGGAAATGTGGTTAAAATCTGTATTTTGAATATTCAGATAATACTTTTTTTAAAAATAGGAAGTTATGTCTGGAATGCCAATTTCAGTGCCAGTCGTTTCAGTGTTTTGTGTTAAGCAGGAGTGTAACGATTCTTATAACAGTGATTGGATGCATTCGCCTTCCAGAGAGCTAAGTGAGAAAGTATTTTGAAGAGAACACTGGAGGGTTTGGAAGGGTTCAGAGATTTCAGATTTTTTTCAGATGGTGTCTCCAAGGAAATTTTTACTGTGAGGAAAGGAATAACAAGTTTGCCTGCACAATGTTAGGAGAGGGGTAAAAAACAAAATGGTGTGGAAGCACCTTTTTAAAGATCTTTTGAGATCTTATTTCTTGAATTGTAGTATGTGGAAACACACAGCTGATAATGGTAATGTTGCCTTTTTAGAGCATGTATGTGTTACAGTAACTGAATTGTATCACGTCTTGTACTTAGATGAGGAGGAGGTAGTGTTTACTGGCTTTTTGTTTTGTCGGAGGAGTATTTGTAGGAGAAGAGAGAATGAAGCAGCCAAGTGGCACATGATGAAATGCAGGAATAAACACAGAAAATAGTAATGTAGAAAGAAGGCATGAGAAAGGTGCAAGAGCTAGCAAATAAAAAGGAAATGTAAGAGTAAACTCTTAAGGGTAAAGCATTTGGAACATGAGAGTGTGTTAAAAAACTGAACAAAACATCAAGTAGAAAACCCCCCTTACTTTCATTAAGGCAGTTATTGTACTTGACAAAGATTTAAATAGTGTTACAGTGAGTGTCGCATGTAAAGATTTAGTGGTGTACCCTAAGTGTGTTCACTGAAGTGTACCATGATGATCTTCATGGATTTCTATCTGGCAGACTTTAGTTTCTCGTGTTGAGAGTGTAGTTTGTGCTGAGCTGAAGCTGTTAGAGTGGTGGTGAAGTAGTTTTGCACTTTCCACGAAAACATTCAGCTATACAACTATGTTTTTAGCCCTGTGCTGTTGTATGCTACACTTGCACTGTGTGTCTGGTGCTATTGGTGATCACTTTTTGTTCATATACTTAGTACTATACTCCCTATAAAGTAAAACTACCTGCTGTTATTTGTGCGATGATGAACTAGAGTGAGTGGGACTCTTAAAAAGATACTTGGTCTTCAAAAATGATTTTCCCTAGCTGGATTTTAATATATTCTTTTGTTTATAGCCAGAAGAAATGTATGAGCAAGCTGCTGGAGTACAGTGCAGATGTCAACATTTGTAATAATGAAGGCTTGACTGCAGTAAGTGCTATTGATTATCATCATGCTCATAAAGTGAATGAAGAAGATTCTCGCTTCCTAAGCTTCTGCTGTATTGCATTTGAATAAACAGAACTGCTGTGTGGTCAGTGCCCTTAAGAATCAAAAGATGCGATCAAAGTACATAAGCATACGATTGTATTGTTCTAAGCTTCTCTTTGTGAAAATGTTGACAGTAGTACAGTCTGGTTTAAAATGATATTTATGAAATATTAATATCAGTGCTAAAGGAAACATGTCATTTTGTACTTAGATTCATTGGTTAGCTGTTAATGGACGAACAGAATTGCTTCATGATCTTGTTCAGCATGTCAGTAATGTAGATGTTGAAGATGCAATGGGACAGACAGCCCTTCATGTAGCTTGTCAAAATGGACACAAGACAGTAAGTTTCTAAATTTTATTAACACATTCGGTTTGCGAAGGCTGAGTAATGCCTCCATGTTGTTGTGGTTGTGTTATGTGTGTGCCTGTCCGTGTTAGTGGCCGGCCCAGCCCTAACCCGTGACAGTGTGTTTTTAATAAACTTCGGGCTAGTCAAGCACATGATAGTGTTTAGAAGTGTGAAGAACTATCGCTTGTCTTTAGTATTGACTGCATATACTTCCATGGGAACTAAATTTATTCTTGTGGAGATGATTGATCTCAGTGTTTATGAGAGTTTAAGTGAATTACTGTATACTATCCAGCTATTCTGCAGTACTATGATTGCCTTGTTTATTATGGGTTTTGATGTAACATTAAACATTTAAAAATGTTCTTCCTTGCATTTTAGAATGTGTTTGATTCATAAGTGTACCAGCTATTATGTGCTTCTGAAATAACTGACTGCGAATAAAAAATGAGCACAGAGTTGGGTCAGATATCGAATGTTAGAAGCAAAAAAGTTCCCACAGATGCTTCTTTTATTGATCTGTGTGGTTAGTTTTTAGACTGACCTTGCCTTAGGGCTGACTATTCACTTTTGGAATACAGGTCTGGATGCTTTACTTGGATTTCATTACAGCTATGTAGTGTTATACAGATTGTCTCCAGGACTCTTTACTGTTCAAAAAGTTATCTTTATACCCAGCTCCTTTGTGTTGTCATTGTCAGAGTTCGACTTTGGAAGATAAAATACTGAGAATCTGTTATCTGTAGACTTAACAACTTGATGTGGCTGGAATATAGTAAAGTTGTTAGAGGGTCTGCTCAATGTTTTAATTTTTTAGAATTTGCTTACTTATTTCTTCTAATGTGTGTTTAAAACTTTGGCTTGTGATAAGACTGCTTATGGCTGTCACTAACTTGAGGTATACTTCTCTAAAAAGTGTCGTTTTCTTTTTTAAATGATCTGTAGTTCTAGGGGTCTTTGGGATTAGCTGAAGTTCAATAAAAGGCATTGTTATTAAAATGGGAAGCTCAAAGAAGGCTTTATGAGCTCTGAGAGCCATGATTTTCCATATAGTGTTTAGAAATTACGGTTTTGAGATTCATTACTGAAATTTAAATCCTCCAGTGTAGTTAGACACGCACGACACTGAACAGTTGCAAGTCAATAGAGTTTTCTGTTGCTTTTTTTCTAATGCTAGTATTTTCTTCTGTTCCAGACGGTGCAGTGTTTGCTAGACAGCGGTGCAGATATAAACAGGCCGAATGTGTCGGGGGCAACTCCGCTCTATTTCGCTTGCAGGTTATATATTCTTAACTTTTGCATACTGTTCTCAAAGTGAAATAGATTTTTTTCTTTTTCAGCTTCTGTCATAACAATGATTAGAAAGCAGAAAATTCAGGAAATGCAGAAGCTGGCTGGTGTTTAATCTTACCTCACATTTGAATGTGTCTCATCTAAATACTTATCTTAGTACTACAGGCTTATATGCCTTTTTCTAACAGACATATTAAACACGTAGCTGTGCATATTCTAGCACGAGTCATGAATCAATGACTGCTGAACTTCTGAAAAACAAGATCTACCAACTTAGATTATTTTAAATAAACCAAAACTGCAGCCTTTTATAGGACAAATTTGACTGCTTTAATGTGTGTTATGGTATTACAGTGAACATGAAATGTGCATATAGGCTTTAAGGTTGCAACGTGGAATTGAAATTATGTGTTGCTTTGGTCAGTTCTGTTTTCCTCCTGGTTTGTTTTTATTTCAAAACTAATTACATATGATAAATGACCTTCTCTTTTAATTGGTAGAACAATTTTCTAATCCCTGTGTTTTGGTTATAGGTTAAATAGTTCACCTACGGTTAAATCTTAATATAAACAAAAGGAGAAATGGACTGACCTGGTGGCCTGCCAAGAGTTATGCTGTGAGAGCCCTGGTCTCTGGAACTGGTGTATGCTGCCTCTTGGCAGCTGAGAAGGGAAGTGGAGATTAAATAGCTGCTAGCTGATTGAAGGCCTTGGTGCTTGATTTAGGGACTGATGTTGGCCATCCACTTTAAAAGTAAGCAACTTGCCTCAGCTTGGAGGATTTCCATGAGAAGGGAGTGTGTTGCAAACACAGTGGTGATGTTCTTTTAGGAATTACTAATTGGAGCAGCTGATGGGATAGAATGAACAGGGTGCGTGGCAGAAGTCAATGTCTCTTTGTCAAAAGTGCCAGTTAGTGATGCTGCCACCTGAGAAGAAAGATTATGGGTCCCTGATGGCAGGGAGAGCAGGATATGGTAGCAGTGGCTAGTGAAGGCTGGTGAAAGCGTATCGACGCTCCGAGTCCGACTCTGAAACCCTTAGAATCATAGAATCATAGAATAGTTTCAGCTGGAAAAGACCTTGAAGGTCAGTGAGTCCAGCCTTTGTCCCAGCCCTATCAACCTACTAAACTGTGTCCCCCAATGCAACATCCACCCGTCTCTTAAACACTTCCAGGGACAGTGACTCAAGCACCTCGCTGGGCAGCCTGTTCCAAGGGCTGACAAACCTTTCAGTAAAGAAATTCTTCCTAATATCTAGCCTGAACCTCCCCTGGCACAAATCCAGTTCCTCGTGTACAATCACTCTCCACTAGGAAGAACATACCAACCTCTGCCTTTCTACAACCTCCCTTCAGGTAGTTGTAGAGGGTTTTTTCAAGATGGTTTTTTCAAGGTGTTGTGTTGTACATTTAGTCTAGAGAATTACAGTGAGGAGGTGCCTCAAGCCGGCCATTAGTGTTGGTACGTTTCTGAAACCTGGTAGCTGAATGTAAATGTTTGTTTGCACTGGGGAAAAGTCCAGTGCATTAGACTAACTTGTTGGTTTCCTGAGCTGGATGGAAGGACATGAATGAGGAGAACTCAGCTGGGAACTATGGAGAGACCAGCGAAGCTACTTTTTGCCCCTCAACTCTTAACTGTCACTTCTCCTGTGCCCTTACTGGGTGGTTAGTGCAGGCAGCCTCAATGCGTTGCAGGTCAAGCAAATGCTCGTGTACCTTTGTGTAAAGAGAGCACTGCAAACTAGATTGTGATCATAGAATCGTAAAGTTTGGGAAGGACTTTAGGATCATGAAGTCCAACCTACAGCCCTACACCACCATAACTAAACCATCTCCTGAAGTGCCATGTCCAGCCATTTTTTAAACATGTCCAGGGACGGTGACTCCAACACCTCCCTCGGCAACCCATTCCAGTGCTTCACCACCCTTTTGGTGAAGAAATTTTTCCTAATATCCAATCTAGACTTCCCTTGGTGCAACTTGAACCTGTTCTCTCTTGTCCTATCGCTGTAGATCTAAGACTTCATTGAAAAGCTTGTATTCATAACCAGAATTGCAACATCTTTTGTGTCAATCTTTCAGTTCACCCTTTAGGTACCTTTGTATTACATTTCTCAGCATGCACACTAAATAGCGGTGAATGCAATAGTCAATTAGTCTTTTTGAATAGGTTTTTAATGAAGTCACCATCTGACCACTGGTACCCAATTTCTTATTTTTTTCAGAAGAAAGGGTTCTGGAAAGTATATGTTTTAGGTGTTGAGGGATATAAATAATCTTTGGTCTTATTTTACTTTTTTTTCTGGGCAGTGGTGGCCTGTTGGAATAGTTGTTTGAAATTCTTGCCTCAAGGAAAATAAGTACTCCATACAACCTATAAATAGATGGGTGAGACTATAAAACAGATTCTGAATGGAGAAGTAAAACTCGTTACTCTTCACATTAATGGTCAGGCGAAACATTCACATGTATCGGCTAAAAGAAATTAGAACCAAGACTGATGTATTGAACTTCTGTGCAAAGAAAAGATGTTTTATCAGTTAAAAATCTTTATAATGTTTTACTGATGGTTAAAGTGCAATCAGATTATTTTTTTTGTGCCAAATCTGTTAGGAGTGAGCAAAGAACTGAGGGAAGAAAACTTTCTTTGTGAGGTAGACTAAGGTGTGAATTGAGAAAGAGCTATCTTTTTAAGGAAATACAGCTCATACAGATTTATGAGGCTCGGCTAAGATAAATTATTTCTGAATGATGAGAGTGATTCTGGCTTGATGAATGAGCCATACTTAATTTTGCACTGTTGTTCTGCACTGGCCTTGAAAGGTAGTAGAAGAATATGTGGCATTATCTTCCATCCTGTGTTTCTGCTTAGTTTCGTACCATAACTATTTTTTTTCTCCTAGCATATGTAGGTTTTATTTGTTAGATGTAATAAAGTCAGATTTATCACTCCTAATAGAGCATAAGTGCTGTATTAACTCACTTCTCTTCTTTTGAATAGCCATGGTCAGAGAGACACTGCACAAATTCTTTTGATGAGAGGAGCCAAATATTTACCAGACAAAAATGGTATTACTCCACTGGATCTGTGTGTACAGGTATTGAGTTAGCAACACTTTTTCTGTGAAATTCTTTCATTAGCTACAGTGTCACCTGATCAGGTGAGAATACTTGGTGTAATGGTAATAGATTCTGTTTAGGCACTTAATTCTGAACAAGTAAGAGGTAAAGACATGCAGAAAGGAGTGATTATTTAAAAAAAAAATCTCAACAGATTTTTTTTTTCTTTTGAAGAGATATTACTAATAAAACCAAAACTTACACAGTGCTGTCTTACTTTTCAAACTTATTCCAAATACTATATTGAGCTGAAGAAAAAAAGTCTTAAGTTTGATACTTTCGTGCACTGCTCACTAGGGTGTCTTTCCATGATTTATGAACACTTCCACGTTTTTCTGCAGGATCAATTTAATGTCAGTGTGTAAATAACACATAATGAATGAATGGGAGCTTTTGAACCTTTGCTAGTAATCAGTAGACTGGAAAACTCTAAACTGAAGGCTAAAAAAATTAGTACTGCTGTGTTTAGTGGACATAAAATTACCATGACTACTGCATGTCATTAATTTTGCAGGAAAAGGTGAAATGTTCAAATCTCTTACTGTGTTAGTAGATTATTTTAATCTCAAATTACTTAATTTCTGAAGTTTCCTTATGTGCCTAAGACCTGCAGTTGTAGTAGCTGTATGTGGTAGAGACTGCTGTCTCCAGTTGCTGTGGGATATTTCTGGAATGTTTGACTCTGAAAAGTTTGTTTCATGGACTACCATGAAAGGTTTTAATCATGTCAAGTTGCTTACAGTATTTCTTTTTGTATATAAGAAGTTCTACAAAGTCCTCAGCCCTAGTCGCTTAGAAGTGCCAGATCAGTGAACTGTCTCTCTGCTGGCTCAACTATGAAGCTCAGAGTTAGATTTTTTTTTTTTTCCCTTTATTAAAACAAAATGACTTACCATTACCATAAAACATGAAGTCTGGTCAACTTTGAGGCTTTCTACAGCCACAGACCTGTAAGCCAGTTTATCATCGTGTACTTGATAGTACTGTTCCTAGTTTTTATGATTAGCATTTTGAATGTCTGCTTCAGCCTGCAGTTTGACAGTCCCAAGGGCATCACTTTATACATCAAAATTCTGTCAACTTTTTTTAGGTGTGAGTAGTGACACCTGGTGTTTGCTGGTTTATAGTGAGGATTTTACTGTGTTCAAGACCTAGTTTGCAAGTTCATGATACTAAGTAAAAAAGAGAAACCAAAATATTTTTTTCCTTTTGCATCAAGGATTTTATTTGCTTACAGGTTTGTTTTTCAGAGTACATACATATTTTTACAAGACTGGAATTATAGATTCATATACTTCCTGCCATCATGGTATTACCTTGATTTTGAAGAGCTGACTTTCATGAATTTTTACAGATTCTGAGTGTTTTTAATTCCAATACTTAATTTCTCAGCACCAGGACCAATTAAATAAATCAGGTTTTAAGTGCCTGCTTAAAAATGTGGCTGTGTTAAATAAGGGTTGTTGCAAATAAACCACAAATTCAGATTCTGTTCTTTCCAGAAAACTTTTTTCTCAAAAGGTTGTTAAGTTAGTGTGAGCTGTTGATCTAAGGAATAAGTGGAATCATACTTGTGTGTTGATTTTGAAGTTATATTACACTTTTCTGGGCTTATCTTGGTTCTTCCTTTAGCAAGTCAGAATTGGACCGTATGAACCTTTAGGAAAATACTTGTTTTGAAGGATTAGATTCTGAGTGTAATTAGATGGATGTGTCATCAATCAGCAATGGGGAGAGAAGCTAAATATTGTACTGTCTCTGGTAAATTGTTAGGTGAATTGTTGTTTCAGAAAACAGGAGAAAGGACGTGAGTGTATGTGAGCAAATATACTGAAAGAATTTGAATCAGTCTTCTGATTCTCTTAAAATTTTTGTGATATTTGATAGATTATTGAATTTCAGTTTATTTTAGGATTAGATTTCTCCATTTATCATTTAAAAAAATAAATTTGTAATCTTTGGTGGGTTTTAATGTCTGTAATAGTATCAATCCAAATTCTAATGTTTCTTTTAATTAAAAATGTTTTTTGAACTATCACTTTTTAGGGTGGTTATGGAGAGACTTGTGAAGTCTTAATACAATACCATCCTCGACTTTTCCAGACAATAATTCAAATGACACAGAATGAAGAGCTACGGGAAAACATGGTACTACAGAATTATGTGTGATATGGTTATTGAGGAGTCTGTGTTGTGGAGATGTGATTGCTTAATATGAGTGTCCTGATGAGAAGACGCTACCAGCAGCTGACTGTCAGTACCACAGTAGTTGACCACTATGTATTTTTATTTCCCCCATGGAAAGAATTTCTATTTTAATTTAGTGTTTCATCTTTTCATATTTAGCCGAGTGGTCTAGAGAGTGTGAGAACTGAAAGAGCAGACTTGTTGTAAGCTTCAGCACAAAGGTGCTGGCAGAGCATTCTATATATACAATTACCTTGTGTAATGGGGCCTCTTTTTTTTTCATTTAGTGGTAATCTGCAGGTATCTATTCTAGGATGTGTCTCGAGTCTTGAATCATCTAGAATGAACTTGAACATTCAGAGTAAGAGCACTCATCCCTATGAAGTTGTCTTGCACAATTAGAGTGCAAAAGATTGCACCTGCAATTTCATTTGGTTATTATTGCTGTAGATGAAACTATTCCCTTTTCAGTGGTTATTATGTACCTTGTTTCTTTTATTATTGTGGGGTACTGCAATCTAAGGCAAAGTAGAAGCAAGCAAAGAATTTTTGGTTCTTGATTGTGTATGGAGAAGGAAGCATGGACTGTTTTTCTTCCCCTTCCAAATCTAGCTATCTCTGGGGTTTTGATATAGTTTTTGCTTGAAAATAACTGGAAACAATTTTACAGACTGTAAATTTAAAAGAAAAAAGAAAGAATAGATTTAGTAAAGTATTGGCTGCCACTTCACTGAACCTGGTTTGCTAAATTTTTTAAGTTTTTATTGCTCTCTGTAATCCCATTACTTCCACTGCAAGACTGAGGATTTCTAAGTCTGCATAGAAACAATGTTTAAATCTCTGAGACAGAGTTGAGTTTTACAAAGTAAAATAACAAGAGAGGTGAGAATTCTCAAAGTGTATGTTAGAACTATGGAGGGATGTTGTAGACGATTTCAAATAAAAGAGAAATTTAGAGGACTGAATGAAGCAAAACAGGCTGTCTACAGAAAGGCAAGTGGCAAAGTGTATTATTGTAGAAGTGAAGACATTAAAGTGAGAAGGATGTTTTGTCTGTCTGAGTAATGGTGGAGGTGTGTGGAAAAAAAGATCTGAGTAAGAGTGTATGCAAAGTGTTTTAGATAATACACGGTATAGTTATGCTTCATTGCCAAAACAGAAGCATATTTTAAGTGTGGTTTTCTGTGACCAAGTCTGAGCTGTTCTGCCCCAAGTCTTGGATAATGACCAGTTCATATTATCTGAAAATGATGACACAGAGAGACTGGATATGTTAGAAGTCAGCACTCATATTTTAAATATTCTTGACAAACTGTGAAAATTATCAGGAGACCTCAGGGAGAAAGATACTGCCTTGACCATTTATAGCTGGAGATTCAACTGAACCTCGAGAAAAACTTGGACATAGTCAAGGACAGTTACGTATTGGAAGAGATCAGTTAGCAAAGCCGCAGGGCTTCCAGGGCAAAAGACAACTGAAAACCAGGCAGACAGATGGGGCAGGCCAGTTCAGATCACAAGTACAAGGGCTTCTGCTTTGGGGCAGTGTGGTGGAGTGGATGATCTTTATGAGATTCCTTTTCATTCCACCTTTCTGCAGGAGAAGGTGTCAAGGATTACTGAACTTCATGAAAGTGAGAGAGAAGGGAGTGAATGAAGATGCAGTAGGAATGTGTGAAAAGCAGGGCCTCTGAAGAATTACTTGATCTGGAAAAAAAAAAGTCTAGGCTAGAGGAAAAGTGTAGAACATGGGAGTTGAAGACAGGACAGTGTCTGGGCATTTGCAACATCTAGTTCTTGTGAGCCATGTGATGGTATTAGCAAGAAAAAGGACAGTTTTGAGAAGAGGGTAAGCATAACAATTATTGATTAGCAGGGCATGACTTCCTATCCAAGGAAGGACATTCAGTTCTTTGAGGAGAAATTAAGGCATTGAGACCAAACTCTAGGATCCAGGGTTCATTTAGACAATGTTATAAACTGAGGAGTGAACCTGGGAGATATGTAAATTATGAATTACGTAACTCCAAATATGCTCTTAACTTTTAAAATTTGAAAGTGTTTCCCACTAATTTTTCAGATGAAATTAAGATGTTCTTACGAATCAATAATACACGGCTAAGCATTCATAGCATTCCATAATGTTATGTATCCTGTAGTGGATACATTGTCACTAAATGTATGCCTTTTGAGTAATCTTTGTATTGATTATAATGAAACATTAACTGATGTTAGATTAGAGGTTGGACTATATAGATGTACATTAATATTGCCAAATATTAATGCTTATGTGATAATGTTCTAAGTTAAATGATGATCTGACACTCCATGACACTGCAGTTTCTTTTCTTTTCATGTATCAGTTACGGCAAGTTCTGGAACACTTGTCTCAGCAGAGTGAAAGCCAATATCTTAAAATCTTAACAAGTCTTGCTGAAGTTGCTACAACAAATGGTCACAAACTGCTTAGGTAAGTGTGGGAGGATCATAAGTGAGTTGATAAGCTACCTGATAGTTACTGCCACTTGGTAGTTTTTATAATCTAAACTATCTGCTGCTGGGCACGTGCTGGAGTAGATGGATCTCAAATCTGTTTCTGCATGTGAACTGCAGGAGAGAAAGTTGGTGTCTTTATATAGCTGCTGGAGCCTAGAAGCTTGAGTTGCAGAGAAGTGTGCGTTTGTTTGGTTTGGCAATGTCAGCTCTAGGAAGGGAAGCTTTTAAGCCAATTATCCATCCTTCCCTTTTTTTCCCCACCTCTCCTTTTTTCTTCCCCCCTCTCCTTTTTTCTTCTCTTCCACATCTTTACTTTTCTGCACGCTTTTGAGACTGTTTGAGGAGAGTTTTGTTACTTCAGACAATTGTCTCATATTCGCTGGCTGAGTTCCTTTGATGGCTACTAGCATATACAAGACCAAAAATTTCATCTACTAGTGTGCTGTCTGAGCAGCTCATGGAGCAGTTACTTGGGGAATCCCATAAAATAGGCAAGCATATTGTCCTAATATGCTTTTCTAGCTTTTGTGGCATCTCTTTGAGTCAAAGTTTGTGCAAAACGCCTCATCTGTAATCTGCTGTAAAACCAGTAACACTTTACTGTTGTCAAAAGCCATCATGATTTGCTCTAACCTTTACGCTGTACTAGAAGCTCAGAAAATTTTTGTTGGAAGAGGTCAAAAGCCTGATGAAAGCATGAGTGGAAGTTCCTTACTAACATGTTCTAGATGGCTTTTTGGAAAAGAGAGGTTTAAGAGCATTCTGTAACCAGAGAGGTCTGTCAGCGTGGATTGTAGAGGAGTAAGACTTTGAATGCTTCTTTTCAGTTGGGTCTGGAGTGCAAGGAGCCCAACAGTTAGATGGGTACTAAATAGTATAATTTTAGTTCTAAGTGCTTGCCTTTTCTTTTTTCCTCTTTTTTAATCCCCATCAGTGAAGTTAAATTTGGATGGCACTCTTAGATAGCAGGTCAGAACTCCTAGGCAGTGCTAGGAAATTCCTGACACCATTAATCACATGTTCGGATGGGTGTTTGCTCTGATGAATGAGCGTAAGATATTTAACCCCCTCAACTCAAATGTTGTGGGTTAAAGTGCATAGACATATTAATGACATTTTGCTGCAAAGATAAATTTTTGAAAAACTTCAGCTGTTGTTGGGTTCAGTTTGTAATCAATTCAACTAGTAACACGTTGCTTTTGTCTCCAGACTTCATTATAACCAAAAGTCTCCCACAAATAAACTGTGACGAAGTGTAAAACCAGTCTGCAGGAAAGGGTTTCGAAAGTACTTTGTTATGGGGACATGATGATCTTAGAGGTCTTTTCCAGCCTTAATGATTCTATGATTGTCAGAAGTTGTCATAGGTGAATTAGATCATGTGAGACAGTATTTGTTTCTGTTTTAGTATCTTCAGAGATAAATTAAACTGATGGCATGTTTAGTTTTGATTTATTACTGTTATCACTCCTCTACTTTGAGCAGAGCTCACTCATTACGGCTGTAGAAACAGTATCTATGTGCCTGTACTCTCTGAATTTGAGCCAGTGTGTACTCAGGTGCCACTGCGTGTGGGTTGACTAGCAGAGGCTGAAGACAGGCCAGAAACTTTGCATTGCGCTGGATGAGTAGGAATTTCCAGAGATGCCTGTGCTGATGGTGTCTTGTGGACTCTCACTGGCCCACATCTCTCTGGTGCTTTGTACTTTGTGGTATGTTGCAAGGGAAATGGAATTATTTTCTTTTTCGGTTACAAGATACAGTTTCACATACTCAGTTTGACATTCATCTCTGTTCTCTCCAGTTCTGTTCCCTGACAGAGGCTTCAGTCTCTACTTTAACTAAGTATTTCTCAGTTGCTTTATTATTAAAATAACAAGGATGAAGGTAGTACTTGATGAATGTAGACCCTCTGAGTCTGTGCCTTTTTTTTCCCCTCCTTCTAACAAATAGTATGTAAAATGCACTCCATACATGAAAACCTCCAAAAATGGTACTCTTGTGTGGCTGAACTACTGTCATCACTGTTAGATTCTGGGGTGCTAAACTGCAGCCTGTTTTTTACTGGGTTTGTTCAGAAGCATCTAAAGTTTTTTGTAATGCTTTTAGCAGGTGGCCAGGAGTGCCACCAATCTTCTACCTGAGGACTTCTGCCTTGAATAACAGCAAGAAACCTGTTCAGTTAGCGTTGTTGGTGCAGACTGGGCCTAGCTGAACATTTACTAACTGCTAGTGAAAACTTCAATAGACTACAAAGTACTTTAAGGTTTTTCTATATACGTGGGTATATATGAGGAGGTAAGGAGATTTAAACATAAATTTGACCAGGGAAGCACTACTGTTGAGGGATAATAAACCTCAAGCTTCTGGAGTTAGCTTCTTGTATTCATGGATCCTTTTTGGTACATAAGCAAAGATTTTACAAATCCTAATTCTGGCACTATAATTACAGCCTGGTTAAAAAACTTAACGTTCCCACTGTTGCACGTTTTATTTGATGTGTTTCTGTCTTAACTTGATTTACTGAAATTTTCTCTGGTTAAAGTCTAGATTGTGACAAGAGATTCATACTTTGTGTACCAGTTTGGTAAAATTCTTAGTATGTGGCTTTTTAAAATTCACACTTCACTGGCAGTCACTAAAATGTAGCGCTGAAAAAAAATAGGTCTTTTGCTTTTACCCATGCCATAGGGAGGGTGAGGTAATGATAAAAGTTCTGTGAAGTGCCAACTGGTTGTGTTTCAGCAGATTTGTGAAATTAACAGATTATTACTTGCATCAGAAGTTTACAGCATCCTCCAAGATGTCAGTTTTCAGACAATTTTTTTTACTGATTTATAGCTCAAAAGCATACTTTTAAGTTGGAAGTACTTTAAAGATAGAATTGAATATGTGTTCACTTATATAATATTAATAGGTGAGTAGAGTTCAGTAGAACCAAAAAAATTAATTTCTTTCATTTTTCGTTGCATGTTCAAGACAGAATTCTTGCTACTTCAGGTTAAAGGAATGAAAACCAAGTTGAATTTGCTGGAGAATGTTTGGCTTGTGAATGAAATTAGGAATATTTCATTCTACACTATAGATACAGAGTTCAGTGTTAGCCAGTTCAGTTAAAAAGACATAAAACTTTTAATATATTTATTGGACAAATAAATAACATAGTAGTGCTTTTGCGTAGCATCTTTTAGATGAGACTTCTCTTGAGTAGAAACAGTGTCATCCTTGCTGTTCTGATCCCTTGTCTGACTGTGGTAGTTCATGGCAGTATGATAATAGCTAGGTGAGGATGGGCTTGGCAGCAGACTTGATTAGTCAGTACATTTTTACCATTGAATGCTATCTTTTCTGGATTGAAAAACTGTCTTCATCTGGATATCCCAATTTGTTTCATAAATTGAGATCCTTACTGTAATAAGATGGATTTCTTACTGGTGCTTCACAAGAAATGTGCACGTGCAGAAAAACAAATGAGGTATTTTGCAAGATCTGGAGTTTGTTGTTCTTATTTCACTTCTAGTTAAATTTATGAATACATGTTTGTAAAATTGTAGTGCTTGTATTTGACTTTTGGGGCTGATGCAGGAAATGAAGATTAAAATTGACTAGGGTTTAAAGCTTAGGGTTTTTTTCCTGACAAGTGTATCACACCCTATGATTAGATTGCTTAATGTACTAAATTGCTTCATCTAGGAAAAGAAACTTAAATATTTGATTTTTTTCCCCAGCTTGTCAAGTAATTATGAAGCTCAAATGAAGAGTCTCTTAAGGATCGTGAGGATATTTTGCCATGTCTTTCGTATTGGCCCATCCTCTCCCAGTAATGGAAATGACATGGGCTACAATGGAAATAAAACTCCAAGAAGTCAGGTGTTCAAGGTCAGAAAAGTATATGATGTTGTTAGGAAGATAGACGTTAAAGAGATGAATTTCACAAAGCATGCATTCATTAATCAGACATCTCATGAACAGGAAGTAAGTTTGGTTGATGTCCCTATCCCTTCTTAAGTTAAGCCTGCCTCTTTCCTTCTCCTTAATGATTTTTTCTTCTGCTGGATTCATTTAACCACTGATGCACATCTCATCTTATGATTTCTGTTTATTTTTTATTTGATACATTGATTAGATTATTAGCTGTTGAAAGTTTAGTTACCCAGCTTCTTTTTGGTAACTTTGTTTTTATTTCTATTATGTTATGTAAGAGTGTAGTAGTCTCAAAATGTTGTAGCATTAATATCGTAGATTGTATTAATGTAATTACAAAATCATATTTGGAGATTCATTGGGAGTTCTGATCATTGAGTTTTATTCAGCTTCACAAGGTGAATGCAGGTAATTGAATTCTTAATCTGTTCATTGCTTGCACTGTGACCACACAGTTTTTTCCCAAGTTGTTCTTGAATTTTATTATGATGTACTTTGAAATATGCCAGCTCATTGCTACCCTCGCAAGGTTATTGACTTGTAACTGTTTTCAAATGCTTACTTTAGGTGCTTGCCATTTAGATGTTTAATTTCTAAAGTCAGGTGTTGGGGTTTTTTTTTATGTGCTTGTTGGTTGAGGAATCCCTCTGTGGAATAATACAGCTTTCCTTTCTGTAAAGCAGTTCTGGTTTTCTGCATTCCACTCAGTTTACGTTGAGTGGATAACTGACATGCTGTTCTGAGCATCAAAATATTAACTGAAAGGTAGTCTCTTCCTTGTCCCTCTGCCCTGAGTGTTGTGAAAATGATTTTTTGAAATTACTGCTTTTATTTGATTATGTGTGCTCCATCAGGTTACTTCTAATGATTTTTAAGACAGAGGTGTATTAATAAGATCATGAGAGATCGTACTCTTAATTCCTGCTATATTTAGTCAAGTAGATCAGTTTTTGTTTTAATTTCTTCTCTTGGAAAGAAGGAAAGCGTTAGACTATTTAAAAAGCAAACACAGTGTTTGTTTTTCTGATAGCAAAATAGTTTTAATAACAAATTGGTTTACATAATGAATCTAAAACTTGAGTATGAAAAATACTGTGTGCAAAATGTAACATGTTGTACTGCATTCAATGTAATAATTTTCCTTTAGAGTTATTCACTAAAAAATATCGAGCTAAATTGACACTGTGAATTTAATCAGATTTCTGTTTTCAAAAAACAAACCACAAGAATTTATCAAAGACAGCATTTTCTAACATTTTTAATGAAAATTGGTTTAAATATACCAGATTAAACAAGCAGATGTTAAATTTCCTTAATACAGGAGCCGTCTGCAGTGAGATATTCTGCTTTTTTTCTTCAGTTTTACAGGCAGCTGACCTCATCTCCTTGCATTTTGTGTTTGCTCATAGCTCAAAAAGGAAAAAAATAAAAGAAGATTTCATACTTTTTAACCCCAGATTGTTTCACACCTTCCAGTAAAACAACCAAAACCATTCAATTACAATTTGCAAAGGCAATTGTATTTCAGCAGAATCACTTATGTATGTGCCCAAGCAACTTTGTATGCTGAAAAAATTGTTTCTCAGTTTATTATGGAGTTAAGTCTTGCAGTAGACTTGATATTATATACTGGCGTGGTTGCCCCAGAAAATAGCAGTAATTCTTTTGTGTAAAATCAACATTTATGTTTTTTAATAAATGAGCAAAATACTACTGTTGCATCAGCTAACAAAACCAGAAATTATTGTTGCTACTACTTGATTTATTGAAAAAGTATTAAAACTGAGGCAGCCCTTCATTAGGGCCACTATGGTCTCCATGATACTCTTAAGGTTGATTTAAATTTCAAACTCAAATATACAAAACAGCTGATGAGAACTTATTCTTGCTTGGGAATGGGGCCCACAGCCAAGTAATTCTTTATTTGACAATGCCAAGTTAATCTTTAGTTTTGGCTTGTTCTTCCCTGAATTTACAGTAACTGGGTAGTGGGAGATCAGACATAGTGCTGAGTCAATTTGGTGACTTTTTAGTCTCTCTTATTCCTGTCTTCCCTTTCCTCTTTTTGTCATATGAAAATGTGGTTGTGATAGTTCATTTCACCTTTTGGGAGGAAGGATAAAAAGCCCACTGTATCTCTGGATTTATTACACTGGTACGGAGGCTTCTTGAAGACCTGGCAGTTGTAGGCTGTCACAGGTACCAGTACTTTCAAGTGGGACATGAAGCTCGAAGGCAAAGAACTCCTCTTCTGGTTTCTGTTTTATTATAGTTTTCTTGAATACAGGCTCTGTAACTGTTTAGTACGGACTATTAAAGAAACTGCAGAGGCTGCTGCTTCGAAGTAGGAGTTAAATCTGTATTAGAAAAGTCAACATGGAACTTAAAAGCTTTTAAATTTGAGATCCGTATTGAAAATTTTAGAGGAAAGTAGCTTTAAATTAGAATTTGCTTCTGATCTCCAAAATTCACTTGGAGGGATAAATGTTGGAGAGAGTTTGAATATTGATACAGATTTTATGGGGAAAACCAAAGTCTCTTGACTGCTGTTTCATGTCTTATGTAAGGTCTTAAGTGGTTTCTGGAGCACTAGCAAGTGATACAGGTCACCACCAACTTCTTTGAATGCTGTTTATTGGAGCTAGTGAAGACCTCTAGATACTTTCTTTACTATAGAGGAAGCTAATCTGTTGTTCAATACTGTTTTCTTTCAAGAATGACCTAGTAGAAAGGTTTATCTGAGGAGGACTGAGGGTAGCACTGGCAGTTCTGTCTTGTGGGACATGCAGAGGAACATTATCAGGCCTTATTGCATGGAGTAAGGGGTTGCGTCCTTTCCTTCTGAACACTCTCTCATTAGGTCTGAATAGATCTGTACGTGATGTATTTTGTAACTCCTTTTAAAATACTGGTGCAAACCCAGATTTTATCCAGTAAAAGAATCATGGAATCATAGAATGTTAGGTGTTGGAAGGGACCTCTGGAGAACATCTAGTCCAGCCCCGCTGCCAGAGCAGGATCCCTTAGGGCAGCCACACAGGAACGCGTCCAGGCAGATTTTGAAAGTCTCCAGAGAAGGAGACTCCATGACCTCTCTGGGCAGCCTGTGCCAGTGCTCTGTCACCCTCACAGTAAAGAAGTTTCTCCTTATGTTGAGGTGGAACTTCCTATGTCCTAACTTAAACCCACTGTGTCTTGTTCTATTGCTGGACACCACTGAGAAGAGAATGTCTCCTTCCTCTTGATACCCACCCCTCAGATATTTATGTACATTAACAAGATCCCCAATAAGAAATGAAGAAAAGATAAGAAATGAAGAAAAACTTTCTTCTGACATTTTGCTTAGTGCTGTGTTAAGTTTTTCTGTATTATTATACTCACTGAATGCATTTTGAAGAGTTCTCACTATTATCTAGCTTGGAAGGGATTAAAAATATGAGTATATCTTGATCTGAGGCTACTGAGGAATGTTGTTACTTGACAAGGACAAGAAAAATCCCAGGCCCATCTTTGCTTTACTGGTGTTCACTGTATATAATTCATTACAACCCTGATCATTTCAGGCCTATCCAAATGCTTCAAAGTGGAAACACTAGCTAATTAAGACACTCTTGTATTGATCTTGCAAGAAACAGAAGTCACCAAATTTCAACACGTGAACAAACTACTAGGAACTCAAATGAGATCTTACCAGTTAAAAACTTTATGAATGGTGATTTTGACTGGATTTACATTCATTACTTTTTCATGTATTGCTTTTCCAATTGCTCTTCAGTATGATCATGTTAAGGAAACTTGCTGCAAAATCTCCCAGCCTAGTTGAGAAAAATTGGAAGCCCGTGGTATTTTTCCCCCTTATTTTATTTACTGCTCTTGTCTAGAATTGAATTGACTTCTCTGCTGTGATCCAGTCACTTCAGAGATTAGTGATCTGCTCCCTGTGTCTTAAAAGACTAACTAACTGTCTCCTGGGAAAAGATCTTATTCCAGTGGTGCAGTTTGAATGTGGGTTTGATTTATAGTATCTTGATTGTTAAATGGGTAAAGAGGAAGGTGTTACATAGCTAAATCCTTGCTTTTGGGAGATGAGGTGTGCAGCTGTTAAAGCTAGGTACTCAGACTCAGATGTGTAATTTCAGAGAAATATTTCAGAAATGTAAGATATGAAAACCGAAGGTTGAATGGAGGTTTGGGTTTAATATGTGATTCACAGTAAGAACTGACTGAAGAATGCTGACTTGTTTTGAAAAAAATGTTACTAGTGGTTTGCTCGAATACATCCATATTACGTTTGAAAAGGTCAGATCATGGGTGCTGACATAAAATGCTGAGAACTGTGGGTGTGGAGGTGGTGGGCAATATTTAGAAGAGTGCTTTATATCCTGAAGTTAGGCTATATAAAAAAAGTGAAACATTGAAGTCACTGTTGTCAAATACACTTTTGAATGATTTTGTGATCAGAATCTGTTAAAAACTCACTTTGGAAAAAGAAATCTGTTGCAAGAGTTCTGAAAGGCGTGCGAAGTCTATGGGAAGTAAAAGATAAAACACAAGACAGCAGTAGAAAAATGACATCTGACAAGCTAAGCCCTGAAAAGTTCGAGAGAAGAAAACTACATTTTAGTATTCTAGTAAACAACCTAGTTTCTTCTGAGCTACACATTAAGAAGAGAGCTGCAATTTAATTCTTCTGTGTGTGCATTGAATCCTTGTTTCCATTAGAAAGTTTTTCTAAGTTATATTTCATGGTGAAAGTCTGACAAGTAGGTCTTGGAAAGGAGTTAACTTGATCCCATATGTCAGACAGTTATGTAGGAAATGGTACCTACCCAGGAGGTGTTCTGATCTCCATCTAGAGAAATGTGTGGTCTCCAGGAGTATGATGATTAAGGAAGTGTGGAGCAAAGCGTATTAGTCTTAGAGATCAGATGTTCCCGAAAATTCTTACTGGGCAAAAAAAATGGAAAAATAGTGGTAAAATTTTTAATGGTAAATTTCAACACAACTTCTTAATACACAGCTTTTGTGAGAAGTAATTTATTGTCTCTTGAGAGCGTGTCACTATGAGGTGTTCTACAGTGATCCAGATAGTGAAGACTTCTGGCATAGTATGCTGTGAATAGCTCTTAATTTTTAAAGACAACTTTAGAAGATGAGAACGTAATTTTCCATATCTGCTAAGTCTTTGAACGCTTTAACTGTTTGAAATTATTGATGCAACAGTAATACATGGAAAAAGTACATTTTGAAGTTCGCTCTTATTTTTGGAATGCTATCAAAGACTTGAGTCAGAATTGCCTCCCTGGAGGAAATGTATGCCTGTGCTCATTAGACTGCATGCTTGTGAAATGTCCCCTTAAACACTATTAAGGGGCAGCATAGTCACCCTTGTAGTTTTTTTGAAATGCTTGTGAGAAAGCCACAGGTGTCTCAGCCCTTTCTCTCCTCTAGCAGGCCTGCACCTCAGAGCAAATGTGTGATGATGGAATTGTACTGTTTCAATTTTGTTGGTTTTCAGATGGTGGTAGTGAATAAAGAGTGATTTTTGTTAAAATCAAGTTGGTAGCTTGAAAAATGTCTAGGAGTTTCTGAACAATACTTCTTTCTCTTTCATAAAGCTAGGTATTAGTGACCCTTGCTCTGGTCCTGCTGGTATCCCAGATGTCTCAGGGCCTTAAAGAACTGACATGGTCTTACTCTGGAAACTCAGCACGTCTTATTGTTTCTCTGCCCGAGTGTAGCACTTGGGCCATAGTGTGCTGTGTAACAACAGTGAGGCCAAATTCTGTTAAACAGTTCAATGTTTCACTCTTTCTACATTATTTTATCTTTATTCCATCTGCTGCTTGATTGTTTTTCTTCTATACGAAATTTTCTCTTTGTGCTCTATGTCTACAAGTACAGAATCTTTTAAGAGTATTTGACTTTTATCTCTAACGTGACTTCCAAAGAATCATTGAAAGCTTTTAAATGTGCATGGTATTTATTTGCCTTAAGAGGATTATCACGTTATTAATATTATCTAATATCAACATGTTCCTTTTTTTGTGTCTGTTTTTGCATGTGTATTTTGCAGCCACTGGAGCTGCTCTGGCATTCTCTAGATGAATGGCTCGTTCTTATAGCCACAGAACTGATGAAAAACAAAAGGGACTCTGCCAACATTACTTCGATTTTACTGAAACAAAAAGGACCAGATCACCAGGATGATACACCTACGCCTTCATTTGCTGCTGCAGGAACGGAGGACAGAAAGGAGCTGTCCACTGATGCCGCCGAGTCAAAAGCATATGATGTTGCTGGCAAGCAGGATGCTTGTGGCGATTGCCAGGATGTTATCTCCATGACAGCAAACAGGCTAAGTGCTGTCATTCAAGCCTTTTACATGTGCTGCTCCTGTCAGATGCCTCAGGGGTAAGGAGAGGATCCTGGTTTTTACCTAAACTGTTACCGTTTTAAAATCATATATGCTTTCTTGGAAAAATACAGGTGCTAGCCAGATGATGTTAGTGACAGTCAAGGGTATGCTTCTTAATGCCTTCACTAGTTCAATTATTTGAATGCTTTTTTCCCCCCCGGCTTTAATGGCACAGCAAGTTTTCCATAGTGCTGCTGACCATGAACGTAGCTGTGTTGGAGCAGATTTCATACTGAATGTCTGATGGCTCTTTGTAATCATGTGGGATACGTGTGGGTAGTGTAATTTTGATTTCTTGAAACTTAGCTGTTCTTGCTGATGGTTCTTAATGTGAAATTTTCCCTGAATTTAATGTGATTATCCAACAAGAAGAGCTATAAGCTCAGAAAAAAATGTGAATTATCTCTGTTTATGAAAATGACAGCTGGAGCTTGGCTATGTTGCAGAAGTTTATAACAAGGAGAGTTCAGTCTCCAAGTCGTGTTCACTTGGAATCCTGACCTGGGTTGGCAAACATGGTTTTGTGTGTGACAGGCACTACAACTTTGGTGAATTTAATACTGTCAGTGTCTGTTATTAAAAAAAAAAAGGCGTGTCTATTGTAACTGAGGCCTTAGTCTGTCCAAGATTGTCATAGTTTATATTTGTGACCTTGCAAGGAAAGAATCCTTTGACCCTCCTGAGTGGAGGATTAGATATGCATGGTGGTGTTAAAAGCTCTCTGAGGAATCTAGAAGCAAGATTCACACTACATGACCATCTTGGTTATTCCTGTCCACTCTAAGGGCTTTTTTTTCTCTCCCAAACCAAGTGGAATAAAAGCTTTCCAGTGTTGTTTGCCTGGGGTACAGTTCTCTGTGGACACTCAGGAAGATGATCTTGGGATCAGCAGATTCCACAAACACCTCAGTACTTCCACTTTTAATTTTACTCCACCTTGAAGAAGGAACTGCTGTTTAGCCATTTCCTTTGAAATCTCTGTGAAAACTTAGTAAGATAAAATACCAGTAAAGTATTATTTACAGCAGCCAAATGAAAAGCAGAATTATTTGTAAAGGTGATTAAGTATGTCCCTTTCTCCTCCCCTCCCCCTGCAATTTATATCTTTGTACCAAAATCCATTTGGAGAGGTGACTGTCTCCCTGTATCCAGGTGACTTGCTGATGGGCTTTGCCCAGTAGCTCTGTCCCTCTACAGAATTTACACTTGAGGTCAAGGAAAACTCCCGAGGATACACGTAAGTTTAAGTTAAAGTTATTGTTTTAGAAGCCAGGAGAGCAAGAACTATTTCAGTGACCACTAGGAGAATTCCCTGGGATGCAGGAAAGTAAGGCAGAGCACACCTGAACTCTGTGTTGCTTTAGGGCTTTTCAGAACTGTGCAGAGAAGTACAGAGCTCAGAGACTTGCTCTGTTTTACTGAAGTTTTCGTGTTAATAGAATTAAATGGCACAATAGTGTAACTCAGTACTGCTAGCATCTTCACATAACACTGGAAATGAAAACAGATGATCTTTTCAGGCAAAATAATATAAAAGGACTCTAATTTTAGATTTGTGTGTCTTTGTTTAATAGGAGTAAGCAGAACTCATAGTTTTCCATTGTTCCTAATATTCATACAATAAAAATGACATTTCATGCTGGTTAACGTTTGAAATATTGAGGTTATTTTCTTTTACTTGCCAAGATTGCTTCTGCAAATGCTGATATTGAATCTAAGCATTCTTTGCTAATATACTGAAATACAATGTTTTGAGTTTTCAGCATCAAAACTCATTAGTGAATGCTAAGATATTTTTTGGTTTTGTTTTTCCTCTATATATTGCATTTTACAGCTTGTGTGGCCATGTGCAGGCAGAGAGAGAATTAATTTTCTTTCATAGAAGACTCTTAGTTGTTTAATACTTTCAGATCATCTCTCACACCAGAAGCATGTTTAAAATGTTGATCTTTGATCTCTGGAAGATTTTATTTGCTTGTTTGGTTTTTTTGTGTGGATGAGAGGAAGGATATAGTGAGGCTTGTTTTCTCAAAATGGAGGAAGGGAGAGAGAAAAATAGCTCAGTTTTATGTAATATGAGCAGCTCTTTTCTAAATTGGTGTAGGGAACAGCAACAGTTCTAGGATTGTTATCCTGGACTTTTTAAAGTATTATTTTTCACAGCCTGTTTCAAGGCACTTGGTAAGAGGGTTTTATTCTCGTTCACAAGTATGCACTAGCTTTTGCTGAAAGTGAAGGATCCAATTAATTTATCTTTTTTAAAAAAATGCAAAGCATAGATGTAAATAAGTGATGTAGAATTTGCACCCATGTTAATCCTTCCCTTCTTCTCCATATATATATCTATGGCTATAGGAAAAAACCCGAAATTCCATAATTGTGTGTGAGACACTTGCCTAGCAAGTAATTTTGTTATTTCATGAAGCCATTAAATGCCACCCTGCCCCCCATTAAGTTTGTTACGTTTGTAACGTTAGTTCTTCCTGGCGCTTTTTCTCAGCACAGTTTCCAAGGTGCATACTTTTATACAATGAACAACAATATAGAACAACGTGTGTATTGTGTTGTGCATATAATATCTGTCCTTCCACATACCTGCTTCCGTTGTTGCATTGAAAGTGGGAAAGTTGCAACAGGGAAATGTGTATCTCCATAACTTCGAGCTGTTCTTGCTCATGCAGCTAAGAACAGTTAGTGGGCAGGCATTTTTGCCTTTTCTATTTATTATGAAATCTTAATGAGTATTTTATTTCATGATTGACTAGTTAAACAGCATAAGTTTCTATTTACATAGTATTTTATTAAATAACCCAAGAATTGATGTAATTCACATTCTTTTAATTTTCATTAACCAAAAGCATCTTATGATTTTTTGAACAGGATGACATCGCCTCGTTTTATAGAATTTGTCTGTAAACACGATGATGTCCTTAAGTGTTTTGTTAACCGGTAAGCTTCAGGAAATATGGATTTCCAATTTTATTTTTTTCCCCCCAAATAATTCAAAATTATCATTTTCTTCTTACTGGGTTGTATTTTCTGGATATTGTTGTGACATACGTACTTTAATGGTCCTGCCAAATTCAAGGGAGTGTGTATTAATGATTCAGAGCTCAGGCTTTAATGAACTCTTCTGCATACGTAAGCGATGCTTTTGTAAGATTCTGTGAGATTTTTGTGAACAAAATCTGGTTCACAATTTCCTTAATGGATCCTTTCCTCATCTTTATCCCGAATAAAGCCTTCACTCTTGCAGTAGATGAAAACTTTCATTCTTCCTCAAATGTGTTACACTTAATGACTTCCTAAAGGAGTCTAAGCTATCTGTGTGCACTTGACTGTTTCCAGAGTTTCTCTGGGACTGCCCAGATCCCTTTCAACCCAACTCATTCTGTGATTTTGCGATTCTATAACCATGCTTCTGTCTGGAGCCCTGCTTGTAATCCTCCATGTTCAGAGTATAATTCATTTGGGAACAAGAGTCAGGAAAACATTGCGAATAGAAGAGACTGTTGGAACTTTTCTATATGACTAATTATGTTGTCTTTTTATGTATACTTTGTGTGTCATGAAGCATTATTATTAGATCTCTGACTAACAGGCTTCTAACCTATTTTCTTTCAGAAATCCCAAAATAATTTTTGATCACTTTCATTTTCTTCTTGAGTGTCCTGAATTAATGTCCAGATTTATGCACATCATAAAAGCTCAGGTAAATGTCAGGAGATGCTTAGTTCCAACTTCTGTGAAAATAAAGAGGATATTTTGTTTAAAAATAATAATATTTAAAAAAAAAAACGTTTGAGGAGGATGGAAGAACTAAGTGTGGCCTCCAGTGCTTTTGGATCTGGGATGCTGAAAGATCAGATTAAACAGACATGACAGCCAGATTTCTGTACTTGCAATTCTTTAAAGTAATATGTAAGTTCATTTGAGATGATCGATATTAAATGTGTTTTACAAGTCTAACTTTCAGTTAAACAGTGTTAACTTTCTGTTATTAATCTATTTGTGCACCTAATAGACTGAACTTTAAAATGCTGTGCTTTTGCCTTAAATTGACTTACATTTTGAGACAAACCAGAGGATGAATACACCACTACTAAGTGATTTGGCCATAGTTAGTTAGTGGCAACTTCTTCAGTGAAACATCATGTTGTTGCCCTTTGCTTTGTTTCCCAACGTTTCCTTTTGTTTGGTTGTTTATGGGGTTTTTTTTGAGTAAAATCCTGATATCTTGCATAACCTAAATTCACTTCTTAGTTTAATGCAGGACATGAATTCAAAACTAAAGAGTTACTCTAGAGACTAGCATAGTTAAGTGGAAAAATTGGCATGAAAAATCCCTGTATGGAAGTCTGCTGCTTTACCTAACACTGTGGTGTTAAGCATCTGCCACGTTTTCATCACTTACCTTTAAAAATTAGGGTTGTCCACATGTTGCTCAGGGACAGAATTGTGTATTTTTTTCTATGACAAATGAAGATGGTCTTTGGGTGATAATGTGCTATTTGGAACTCCTTCATTTAGTGCATACTGGAATACTTTTGGTATCTGATAGAGAGGTTCTTTACATTAAACTGTTTTGGTCAGAGATAGAATTTGCTGTAAGCAAAGGTAAAATACCTCTAACCAACCAGAACACATCCCACCTTGCCACACCTCAATAATTGTGGTGGGTCAGTTCGAAAAGCTTTATTTCTTTAGCTGTGAACAGTACCGTGCCTTTATTTTTACATGCACTTTAGGTTTGATAATCCAGTTTCATTTTTAGGACATAGGTGTATTGCTTACTCATTCTTTGGTTGAACTGTGTGCTTTTGAAATTAATTGCCTGTGAGTAATGAAAGTGACCCTGAAAACTCATGCCCTGTTTGTTAGATCAGCTAAAAGCATGTGCTCTAAGTTGTGGTAGATGAGAGGCTGTGTCATCTCTGTCTCAGATGAACTGCAAAACGTCGATCTAAATACTGAGTCAAGCAAGCTAGGACCTTCTCACCTAAGAATTGCCTTAGGAGTTTTCTGGTTCCTTTGGACTGTTGTTCTTAGTTGCCAATCAACTTGACTGTAAGGTTGACTTGTTGATATCACTTGTGCTTCTGTGCTCAGCTCTGATTGATAATCAGAAGTGTTACAGAAGCCAGTGACTTGCTTCTTACTAGATTCCTTCCTCTGGCCCCTGCCCTGGGAGGAGTTTGTGCTGTTTTTCCCATGTGGTCAACTCCAATAGCTATTTTTGGAGAAGAGATGACAGAGTCTTTCTGCATACCAGACTTCAGCAGGCGTTCAAGTGCATGTTTAGTCCCTTCCTCTTCACAAAATACTGTATAGTGTATTGAGGCAGCACCAAAGCACTCTCTGCATGTCTCAGACCTGGATTGAGAAGTATGTACAGCCATTTTTGTAGTCATGTTTATGAGGAGAATTACTCAGTTGAATGCATCTCTGTAATAGGTTTTCCCCCTTGCTTTGTAGCCCTTTAAAGATCGCTGTGAATGGTTCTATGAACATCTGCATGCTGGGCAGCCAGATTCAGACATGGTGCACAGGCCTGTCAACGAAAATGACATCCTTTTGGTTCACAGAGGTATTGTATTGCAAATGGAATTAGTATGTATTTGAATTGCATTGAAATATAGTGAAATAAGATAAAAAAATTTATCAGTACTTTGTATTTAGATTCTATTTTTAGGAGTAGCTGTGAAGTTGTGTCCAAAGCAAATTGTGCGAAACTAAAGCAGGGGATTGCTGTGAGGTTTCATGGAGAAGAAGGCATGGTGGGTAAAACTGCACAATTTTTCTTTATGGTATTTATATATGGAAATACGAATTCTTTCACAAGTACTGTTTTGAACTAAATACTAATTTAAAGTAACTTTTATACTCTATTAAGAATTATGTGGTTACCCAGTGTAACTGTGCTGTGAAAGTTCTGTGTACTAATATGTTCTGTTCTTTTGCCACGCAGGGACAAGGTGTGGTGCGTGAATGGTTTGATATCTTATCCAGTGAAATAGTTAACCCAGATTATGCCTTATTTACCCAGTCAGCTGATGGTATGTCTCTGTTTGTTTGGGGTTTTTTATTTGTTTGGTTTTCGTTTGTTTTATTCCCCCTCCCCCCCAATCACTGAATTGATTTCAGAATCTAAGATTGCTACTTTCTAAAAGGAACACTGACAGTATTGATCTCGTATACAGAGAGAAATGATCTTTTAATTTTACATTTTTATAACTGCAGATGAAATTTTTTTTTTTTTCTGAATTTGAAGTTTCCTTGATATTGTTCTGTCTTCTGTAAGACGAGAGTGAGTTGTTGGTTTTAATGAATCCTGCCCGGTAGTAGAAGGACGTAACACTTTGAGAACAGTATAGAAAGGATTTTTCTTTCTTCTTCATCTCTAAGGGAGCTGTGGAGGTATTCCTTTCCACAAATTCAAGCACCTGGTTTTTCTGGTAAAACTAGATGTTTATCCTCCCCAAGTCTACCTTGTATTTAGCTTTTTGCCTTTTGGGTTCTTCATGTAAAGCAAATCTTTATTGCTAAAAGATTTCACATTATCATCAGCGATGAATGTTTTACTTTCTACCTTACAGAGTCTTGGCAAGTGGCAAGGAGTTCAGTCAACAATAGAGGCATAGGTTAGTTCGTGAAAGTTAAAAGGGAAAGTGCAGGGATGTCTGTTAGAGGTGGTCTTTCCCAAGGACTGGGCTGTCTTCTATTTGCATCTGGCTGGAGCCAGGTGCTTTCTGATCCTTCTTTTGAGCGCGTTCACAAATTGATAGAAGTATGGCCCATTAGAGTTAGCAAAAAATGTACGTAGCAATATAGTAAGACGGAGGACCAAATTTAGGAGGTTGTTATTATCTTATGTTGATGAGAATTATTTCAGAGTGGTGCCTTGGGAGAGTGGCTAAACAATATCATTTTAGTAATTGGATGTCATTATATTCTAATACATTTCTTCCTGATACCTTTCTGATGTGAACAAAAAACCCCAAACAATCTTCCAGAACCCCGAAATAAACCAATTTCAGTGGTTTCAAATGCCTAGTGTATTTGATACATATGAGCTTCACTTAAAAATAATAATTCATGAAACATTATAATCTTTTTATTTTCTAGGAACAACTTTCCAGCCCAACAGCAACTCTTCTGTAAATCCAGATCATTTGAACTACTTCCGTTTCGCAGGCCAGATCCTGGGGCTGGCTCTGAATCACAGGCAGTTGGTGAACATCTACTTCACAAGATCATTCTACAAACATATTCTTGGTATGGTTTTATCAAAATCCTTTTTATTAGTTGTCTGAGCAGTAAACTTTCTTCTTTTTTTTTTCTTTGTGTCAAAAATGAAAAAGCGTTGGAAATTAATGTCCTGCTTATCTTTTTATTATTATCAGAATCACAACATAATTGCTATTCCAGTCTGAGCCTCTCTTAGGAACTGTTACAGTTGCAAAATACGGAAATACATAGCAAAACTATGTAGGAATTTCATACAGTTAGCAACTTTTTATAAAATAGCTGATCTTTCAGTTTATATTAGAATATGAATCTTAATTTAAAAACAAGAGAGGCATCATTAATCTGTCTGAAGTGTAATCATATAATTTAGTTGTCTTTAATGCTGCTGACCAGGAATTAAGGAGGGTTAGTGCAGCCAATTGCTTTTGTGGTATATGCAGTTCTTTGCATCACAGTTGTGAAATTCATCTGCCTTGCCATTTAATGTCATTCTTGAGAAATGAAAATAATTGTTCCCTAGTTAACTTAAGCTTGCAAAGTTGATAGATGTTTGCCACAGCTCATAAATGTTATCAGGCATCCTTTATTATGCCTGTAGTTGTTTGGTCATGTAATGTTTTAGCAAGATGAATCCATGCTGTTGTGAACCTAGCTGTCTCTCCAATAAATACTACCTATTTCCTGAAATAGTGTTTGAGAACTAATGAAGGTTCATCCTCTCTCCTTCCTGAGGAAACATAGTTTGTACGCTTACTGTAGCATTCAAGAGGATTGGTCAGGAGTTTTTATAAAAGTGTAACTTTTGTTTTAATAGAGAAGGACCACTCTTAGCTGGTGGTGTCTGTGGTCTAGGGCTTTTCTCTGTTCTAAGAACCTTTGTGCTTCTTGATTGTCAAACATGATGTTCCTGTTCTGCATGGTCATAAAAAGCTTTTCCTTTTGTGTGAAGTTGTGATGGAAGGTTAAATTGCCTTTGCATGTAAGAAATTTTTTACAAAGAGGGTGGTGAAACACTGGAACAGGTTGCCTGAAGAGGTTGTACAAGCCCCATCCCTGGAGGCATTCAAGATCAGATTGGATGAGACTCTGATCAACCTGGCTTAGTTAAAGATGTCCCTTCTCACTGCAGGTGGTTGGACTAGATTACTTTCAAAGGTCCCTTCCATCCCAAAGCATTTTATGATTCCTGTTATTACTGTAAGTACATAAATTCTGCTGCTGCATGCAGAATTTCATTCAGTTTAAGCATTATTCTTTAATCTTTGGAAATAAAATAGTTTGATGTTGGAAGTCTTACTTTTCCTCAAGAACCACTCCTCACTTTAAGACCTAGAAAGGTTTTCAAGGGGTTGTTTGCATCTCATTCTGGTTTTGTGTCATCATTCTGCTTACCTACAGTCTTGCTGTGATACTTGCTGAGTCCAGGGCAGCTCAACTTTTAACTTGAGATTTACTGTTTCTCCTCCGTGAAAATGTTAAGGGAACACTGTTGGTGGTGGTGCAGACTCAGCCATTTTTTGTCAAGATCTTCTTGACAAAGGGGCTCATTTTACTTCTCTCTCCTGCTTTGTGCTGCAGGAGAGTGACTGTGTGCTGGGCAAGAGGCAATGGAGGACAGCCAATGTGAAGCAGCATCATGGTGGCAATGGCTCACTGAGCTTCCTGCATCATTGATCTTCACATATGAGAGCTGCTCCAAAGTACAGACTTACTTGTGTGGCACAATTTGACACCGACTTAAGGGTTGGCCTCTGACATCAAGAAATTTCTCTGAGCGAGCAGAAGAATGATGCTCACAGGCTGATTCACAGATGACAAAACCATTTTTCTACTGTTTGGTGACACCTTGAGAACAGTCAAGTATTGCTCTTGTCACCTCTTTGGGAAATGACTGTTGATGGTTTGGGTCTTGTCTAGTTTGACTCACAATTATATGCTGATTTTGTTGGTTTCTGAGTTGACAAGATGACCTATAGTTCACTGTGTTGGTTTTTTTTCTGGTTTCTTTTTTCCCCCTCTTCATTTTGCTAGAGTAACTATTGCAAACCAAAAAGCAGTGAGTAGTCTCTCTTAATAAGATCTCACCAGTCCCTCTTGGTAAGGTCTTGTCATTGTGTTGAACAGGCACCCTGGAGCTCTTTAAGGGTTTGTGCACATCAAACTTCTTTAAAGTCAAAAGATTCATGGGTTTTTATCACTTCTTGTTACTTAGAAGGCACAGAAAACTGGAAAAAGTACACCTCCACTTCCCATAGTAGTTGCTTTTTCTGGCTCATAGTGGTTTACTCAAACCTTTTGAAGGCCTTTTGCATCAGCTTGGTGCATCTTTTCTCTTCATGCTTAAAGAGCTTGAGTTGCACAACAGCAGATATACCTGAGGGGTTTTTGTTTTGTTTTTGTTTCAGGTTCAGCTAGGGGCTGTGCTAACTGTTGTACATGCCAGATACAAATTATCAGGATATAGACATAGAGATTCCCTTCAGGTACTTCTCAGCCCTTAAGTAATGGAGTAGGAAACTATCCAGGCTTTGAAAGATTTCAATTCCTTTGGTTTCTCACCTTGCACTGAGATCCTTGTTTTCTGTAGCCTTTGCTGTTGATGGCACCGAATCCACCAGTTGTGTGGTAAGACCTCCTGCAGCTGAGGAACAGTGAACCCCTTTCAGAAGAACTCTTTAGTCAACAGACATGATGTGGAAGTCCCTTAATTAGAAGCCAAGACCTATATGAACTAATGTGGCTACTTTTTTGAGACCCAAGTTGGTGTGTCACCTTTTTTCCCGGTGAATAATTAAGATCTTTCTGCAACAATATCTGGTAGGCAAGGAAAGATCACCAACTGAAGTGATGACCCAGCAACACACAACTAACGTGCTTTATGTTAGATATGTACACACACACACAGACACACAGAATGTCAGGGGTTGGA